ATTGTCCTCAAGGCCTGGTGGGCCAGGATGTGCTCCACTCTCTCCTCCTCCCCCTTCATCTGCTCCCGTGTGCTCTGATCAGACATGTCCCACGTTTTCTTATTAGCACTGTGCCTGTGCTCCGTGTTTGCTTACTGCCTCCTGCCTGTGGAAGCTCCAGAGGGTGGTGGCTTGGTCTCTGATCTCCAGACTCTTAAGTACCCCTGTGGACTTGGGGCGTGTGAGGGGTGGTAGTTTCTTCAGAGGCTGGGCTGTGGAGCCACATCCAGCTGTGAATGGCAGGGGGTGGGGGGAGGTGGTGGGGTGGCTCAGGGGGGTCATTGTCACCAGCTCCACAATGATTTCAGCCAGCTGGAGGAATGGACTGACACAGGTTTGGGCTGGGGATTCAGACCTAGGGAGGCAAAGAGTTGACCGCCACCTGTTGTCCAGGGCTGGCATAGCACCCCTGGGTTTCATCACATGATGGGCGCAATGGCAGGGAGTTTGATTTGTAACAAAGTAGACACAGGTTCCTGCCCTCCTGGAATTTACGTTCTATAGTACAATATAAAGTGTGTCATAAGACTTAAAGCCCAGTTTCCTATTTGGTGCTGAATTCATAAATTTTAAACAACTGCCCTGTGAGAAATAGGGACCCTTTATAATTATCATCTTATAGAGCAGTGGCCCTTTCATACAGTTCCTCATGTTGTGGTGACCCCCAATCATAAAATTATTCTCGTTGCTACTTCATAACTGTCATTTTGCTACTGTTATGAGTGGTAATGTAAATATCTGATATGCAGAATGTATTTTCATTGCTACAAATTGAACATCATTAAAGCACAGTGATGAATCACAAAAACAATATCTGATTATAGGTTGCGAAATATTTATTTATTTTAAAAAGTTTTAAATCATTTTATTGGGGGTTCATACAGCTTTTATCACAATACATACATAACATTGTGTCAAGCACATTTGTACATTTGTTGCCATCACCATTTTCAAAACATGAAATATTTATTTTTAATGACAAATAAATGAAATTCTGTCTTGGAGCATGGTGCAGCATAGGTAACAGTCTTCATGCTGGGTACTCGTAGGTGGGCATATCTGCATGTGGGGGGACCGGCCTAGAGACTGATAGAGGAGTGGGGTCTCCTAAGACCACTGGATATATGTGTTTTCCGATGACCTTAGGTGGGTTGACACCCACAGATTGAGAACTGCTGTTATAGAGGAAGGAACAGAGGTTCAGAGAGGCTGAGGGATCTGTCCAAGGCCACACAGCTAACTAGTGGTTTGGTTTTGAACCAATTTGTTTCCCCCAAGTCAGGCTCTCCATTCCCTGCTCCTTCTCAGAGCCAGGACCACGCCTGAGAGAGCTGTGAGACTGTGCGACTGCACATGGTGACTGCGAGGACTCTGTGTGACCTAACCTCTCTGAGGCTTGGTTTCCTCAGCCCTCCCTTCCCCACCTGGGCGTGAGGGTTGAAGTCGGGTAGATTTGGGGACATCTGTGGGCAGGTGGTGTTGGTGCTGCGAAGACCTGCCGACTAGCCCCAGTGCCCTGCCCTCCCTGCAGGCGTCCTGCCTCTGTGGCTCTGCCCCCTGCATCCTGTGCGGCTGCTGCCCTGCCACCCGCAACTCCACCGTCAGCCGCCTCCTCTTCACCATCTTCCTCTTCCTGGGGGTGCTGGTGTCCGTCATCATGCTGAGCCCCGGCGTGGAGAGTCAACTGCACAAGGTGAGGGGGTCTGGCTGGGCTGGGAGGCCTGTCTCCAGGAGGGGACTCACTCAGGTGCCCCAGGCCCCGGGGGGCAAGCGAATCAACTTGGTGTGAGCCAGTGCGGGGAACTTGCCTAACAATCAGTTAGAGCCTCCTTGTTCTTTGTGTAGAGCAGTGGTTCTCAACCTTCCTCATGCCGCTACCCTTTCATACAGCTCCTCATGTGGCGGTAACCCCCAGCCATCAAATTATTTTCGTTGCTACTTCATCACTGTCATTTTGCTACTGTGATGAATCAGGCTACCCCTGTGAAAGGGTTGTTTGACCCCCAAAGGGGTCTCGACCCACAGGTAGAGAACCGCTGGGGTAGAGCCTGGGGCCAGGCAGCTCTGTGAGGCCTGACCTTGGGTGTCTGTTCACTTGGAAGCACAGAGGAAGGAGGGTCAGGACCAGCAGGAGGGTGTGGGGTGTGTAGCGTGCGGTGTGCGCGCTGCCTCCAAGAACAGCCGCCTCCTTTTGCCATGAGACCTGAAGACCTGCATGGTGCCCGGCTATCGTGACTCCGTATTTTGATCAAAGATTGCGGAGGATCCTAATCCACAGAGGGGAGCTGCAGAGCAGGATTTTAATGCTCATGAACTCCGGACTGTCTGGAGCCCTGGAGGGTGGACAAACTCCCGACACTTGCTCCAAGGTCCTCTTGAATCCCTCAGCCCAGAAAGAGCCCCTGGAGTCTTCTTAAAACAGAACGCAGGTTTTGCAGGAGTAATAAACTGCAGGCTTGCCGGGAGCAGGGAACTCTGGGCGAGGGAGACACACTGACAGCAGCCACTGGGAGGGAAGCTGAGACAGGCACCTCAGCGGGCAGTTTTTGCCAATGAGGGAGAACACTCAGAAAAGGGGGAATGGATGCACGACTCCAAGACTAAACTGTGTCCCTAATGAGAAGCGGCCAAGTTCGTTTGCTGTGCCTATTCTCAACAGCGCCACGAGAAAACTTTAGGAAAAAAACAAAAAACAGCCCCCACCCCCAAACACACACACGTTGAGGCAGGAGGGAGCGCTGGTTGGCATGAACAGCTGCCCCTATATTCCAAGGCCGGTGACAGGCGTGTTTCCTTAGGGGAGGATGAGGTTTGAGCCTCACACAGGGGACTTGGGTCTCTTCTGAACCGTGGGACCCTTGGGAAATCTTAGTAATCTTTATGTCCTCTGGCCACCAACCAGAGGCTGCGCTCCCCTCTTAATCCTCAAACCCTGTTTGAGACTCCCGACTCCCCCTTCCTGGGTGGGGTGCTGCAGACCCAGGGGACCGCTAGGCAGGGGCTCTGCACCAGTGAGTGCGAACGAGTGCTGCCTAGGCTCTGTTAGTGACTCTCAGACCTCACCACTGAGAGGCAGCTGAGGGGACTCTGAGGCATGGACTCTGAGCCAGGAGGGTGTGCGCATCCGAGGTGAGCACCAGGCTGTCCCGGGCAGACTTGGTGGCAGTCGGGTGCCAGGCCTTCTGAGGCTACCCTTTCTGTCAAGTGCCTTACCTGTTGGACCACTCAGGGCCTGCAGATGCCACCTTAGACGTTGATACTCTAGGATGAGGGTTGTGGGCACTCAGTTTTGCCCAGCACCTCGGGGGACCCTGATGTGATAGGTTCAGAAAGGGGCTTGCGGTCCTGAGGCCATGGGGCTGGAAACGGGGACACCCACAGTAACACGGTGTCTCTGGGTGGGGAGGCAGCAAGGGAGGCAAGGGGCCTGGGCAGAGGGAGTTTGGGTTCCCAAGGAGACATGGGTCTGTGTGGGGTGGGGCCTTCAGGTCGCTTAGCTCACTCTGTCTCCACAGCTGCCCTGGGTGTGTGAAGAGGGTGCCCAGAACCCCACCATCCTACCGGGGCACATCGACTGTGGCTCCCTGCTCGGCCACCGTGCCGTCTACCGAATGTGCTTCGCCACGGCCGCCTTCTTCTTCCTGTTCACCCTGCTCATGATCTGTGTGTGCAGCAGCCGGGACCCCAGGGCTGCCATCCAAAATGGGTGAGGGACCCCCAGGCTCAGGAGTCCCCAGAGCCAGGGGGCTGCACCACAGGGCTCAGCTCACTCGTTACTCCCACTTCTCAGATGAGGAAAAGGGAGCTCTGGATGGAAGGGTGGGGGGGAGGTTGGGGAGGGGAGTGCAGCGACCTGCCTAAGGCCACCTAGCACTCCCTGCGTTGCCACGGTGACCACCCCCACCCCTGCTCTGGCCCCTCCCTCTGCACCTCTTCACTTCTGCTGGGCTCTGCCATGGGCGTGGGGGCCTGGGATGGCCCCCGGTGAAGCTCAGTCCTCCTCGCCTTTCCCCTCCGTTTCTACCGTAGGTTTTGGTTCTTTAAGTTCCTGGTCTTCCTGGGCATCACCGTGGGCGCCTTCTACATCCCCGACGGCCCCTTCCCCAAAAGTAGGTGAAGTTGCAGGGGGCAGGGAAGTAGGGTTCCCAGCCCGGTGCTGCCAGCTGAGTCCCCTGCCCCCTACCCACGAGATAACACTAGTGGCCTCCGCTGTTGGGCTTCCTGGCACCTTGAGGTGGGGGATGGGCCCTGCCTTGACCACTTTTCATGGCAGACGACTGATCAGTGATCACACGCGTGTGCAAGCAAGGCGCCCCTGGGCGTGGACCCGCCCCCAGCGGGGAATGCCCCCTCCTCTCACTGCCCACCCCACCCCCTCCCTGCAGTCTGGTTCTACTTCGGCGTCGTGGGCTCCTTCCTCTTCATCGTCATGCAGCTAGTGCTGCTCGTGGACTTCGCGCACTCCTGGAACCAGCAGTGGCTGTGCAAGGCCGAGGAGTGCGACTCGCGCGCCTGGTACGCAGGTCAGTACCGCCCACAGGGGGGGGGCAGGGGCGGGGTTGTAGGGGGCGCGCACGCACGCGTGCACCGGGCCTGTAAGCCTACCGGGAGTCAGACTGGGACCCGGGGGTGTCCTGAGCAGCCCCCTGTGTCCCAGGAAGTGGGAGGGGCCGAGGCAGCTGGTCCTGAGGGTCAGAGGAGAGGGGGGGCCATCTTGCTCACCGGGTCCAGTGAACTATTGTCTGGTGAGTAACGTCTCGGGGGTGTTACCCGGGGACCCCGTGGGGGTGCTGAAAGCTAGGCTACTGATGGAAAGCCTGGCAGTTCAGGAGTGGGGGTCGGTGGGGAGTTGGGAGGGGGAGTGGTACTCGGACCTGATTTCAAGGGACACTCAGGTCAGGGGGCCTCAGCGTCAGAAGGTCCTCAGCAGGCCGCCGAGCGCCTCTGTTGTTGGGTGCTGGTGCGCCAGTTTGGAATGGTCGCTGCCAGACCCGTGGGGCAGAGGAGCTCCTCCCATGGGCGTCCCTGGGCTGTCTGGCATCTTTCCAGCCCGCCAGGCCTTCCTGCGACTGAGCCACCAACCTTTGTTCACAGCCGAGCGCTTAACTGCTGTGCCACCAGGCCTCCCGCCACCCACCTGGTTCCATTGACTATGACGCCCCGCTTCTTTTAACAGATGCCTAAATTACAAGCAGGCACCCCGGTGGTATAGTGGTTATGCACTGGGCTACCAAGTGCCAGGTCCACATTCCCAAACCACCAGCCGCTCCGAGGGAGAAAGTCTGCCTTTCTACCCCCTAAGGAGTCCCAGCCTCGGAAACCCACCCACAGGAGCAGTTCTGCTCTGTCCTACAGGGTCGCTCCACATCGCCATCCACTCGATGGGACGAGTTTAGAGTTTATTTATAGCAAAGGGGCTCTTCTGGTTCCTGGGGTCAGGGATGGGGTGTTTGTGAATGGTTGAAGGTGAGACAACACTGACGCCAAGTGAGGAAACTGAGGCTTTCAACCCAGCGCCGGCTAACCCTCTCCCCGCCCCTCCCCCCAGGTCTCTTCTTCTTCACCTTCCTCTTCTACGCGCTGTCCATTGCGGCCGTGGCGCTGCTCTTCATCTACTACACGCAGCCCGGCACCTGCCACGAGGGCAAGATCTTCATCAGCCTCAACCTCACCTTCTGCTTCTGCGTCTCCATCATCGCTGTCCTGCCCAAGGTCCAGGTGAGCCTGTCCAGCCCTGCCCCCTGGGTGGGGCCCCTGTGGGAACTGAGGGATCCTGGGCAGGGTCTCTCAGTCATGGGGACTCAGGCACACAGGCTGGGCTCCCCAGACCACCTCTGTGGGTTAGAGCCCGGTCTGCACACCTGCATGCTGAGTGTCTCTGGGAAAGTGCCTGTGCCTCTCTGTGCCTGTCTCATCTCCATGTAAAGTGGGGAGAATACCTTCTATCCTGTTAGTGAGCCCCTTAGAACAGGGCTTGGCATCTAGCTAGCCTGCAACCCGTTAGCTGCTGCAACCATTGATCGGTACGGTGCTGCAACCATTGATCGGTATGGTGCTGCCTTTGCTGTTTCTCTGGGAGCCAGGAGACCATGATGGGAGTCACCGAGGACTTTGAGTGGTGGTGTCTGCACCCAGACCTTTGGGGTGGGTGGGTGGAGGCGCCTGCATTTAGTTTTGCTCAGAAAGCCCCTGTGGATCATGTGCCCCCTCACAGTTTGGAATCTCAGCCCAACGCGGCTTCGGTAGATGGCTTCGGTAGTCTCTGGGGCATCTGCAAGGTTGGAGGCCTCCCTTCTGATCCATTTCCCAGTGGTAACAATGAAGCCCAGAGAGGGTGATACTCCTCCTTCAGGTCACACAGCACGCCGTGGCCATTTACGAAAGGTCTCTTGAGCACGCTTCTTTTGGGTTTTGGGGGGGCCGGTTGGGGGGAGGGGGGGGAACCTTATTCCCATTGGTTACCGTTTACCGTTTTCGGAGGCCCCGGGGCCGGTTCTGCCTGGTCCTAGAGGGTAGCTATGAGACAACGTGGATTCAATGGCAGTGAACTTGGTTTGGTTTTGTCATCATGGCTGGTGGCATCCAAGCTGCTCCTCGGGGAGAAAGGTGGGCTTCCGGTGCCTGTAAAGAGTGACAGTCTCAGGAACCCACAGGGCAGTCGTACGCTGTCCCGTGGGGCTGCTATGGCGCAGAATCGACCCCTTGGCAGTGAGTCTCTGCTGTCATACCCCTTGATCCTTGCACCCTGGTCCCCAGAGGCTGAGAGCAGGGAAGCAGCATTGCTGGAGGCTGCTGGGCGAGAAAGGGAAGGAGGGAGGAGCTGGGTTTGAACCCAGAGCTGGTGCTCTTAACCAGAAATTAGATTTACAGCTGTAAGAGGTGATGGGTGAGGGGCAGGGACTGGAGAAGCCATCTGAGAGTATGACAAGATGGGGCGGTGTGGGGTACGGAGAATAAGAGGGTTTGCACTAAACATAGAGGCTGCTGTAGTCAGGCTTTGGGGCCAAGCCTCCTCCTTGGGAGGCCTACATGCTAGAGTGGGGCAGCCTGCTTGGAGAGATGGAGAGACTTATCCTAGGGAGGGCCACCCGTGAGGTGGGAGGTGGGGAGAGGGGACCCTGTGGCCAGAGTGCCGTCAGCAGGGGCAGTGTGGGGACGGATCCTGTGGAGATGGAGGGAGAGGGGTGCTCTGAGGGGCATTAGAATAATTACAACTCTCCCTTTGGCTGGGCAAGGTGGGTAGTAATGGCTGGTTGGTTTGGTGTGTTTTCCCAAGGCGGTAGGTGGGTAGCCCTAGGATGGGTGAGATTTTCTGAGGTCCCATGCCCTGGCTGGGAGTGAATGGGCTGGATGGTGAGGGGGTAGGGTGGGCACTGGGCCTGGTAGGTATCTTACTGGGAACTTGCTCTTTGCAGGACGCCCAGCCAAACTCGGGCCTGCTGCAGGCATCGGTCATCACTCTGTACACCATGTTTGTCACCTGGTTGGCCCTGTCCAGTGTCCCAGGCAAGTCCTGGGGGTGGGGAGGTATTTCCAGTCGGGAACAAGCCCTGACCATATTTCTGGACCAGCAGTGGTCTGTCGGGGAGGAGCTGGGGCCCACAGAGGGTACAGAGCCATCCAGCTTTGGCTCTTTCTGAAATCCAGTCCTTCAAGGAGATGGAGGGGTCCCCTTTGCCCCTGGAGCTCTCTGAGCACCGGCTGGTAAATGGTCCGCCCTCCTTTGGGGTTGGCTTTCTGTCCTGCCTCAGGGCTACCTGGTCCCTTAGGCTCACGGCGGCTGTGTGTCCTCCCCTAGACCAGAAATGCAACCCCCACCTACTGACCCATTTTGGCAACAAGACGGTCCTGGCAGACCCTGAGGGTTACGTGACCCAGTGGTGGGACGCCCCCAGCATCGTGGGGCTCATCATCTTCGTCCTGTGCACCCTCTTCATCAGGTACGCTGGGGCCCAGAACTGGCAGGATGGAGGACCCTGGCACCAACCAAGCTGGATGGCATCCTCCGCTAGCTGCACGGCCACACCACGTGGTGTGCTGGTGGGGAAACGGCCCGCAGAGAGCACGCTGGGAGTCGGGCGCAGAGGCTGGCTGGGGGTGTCAGTCACTACCTCATTGGGGCGTTGGAGGGTTAGGGGTGAGCTAATGGGTGTAAAGCACTTCTAAAGGAGCATGCTGAGTACTAACTGCTCCTGCGAGCTACTGCAGCTGTGGATCTGTATGGGCGCAGAAAGCCTCATCTTTCTCCCGAGCAACAGCTGGTGGGTTTGAGCTGCTGACCTTGTGGTTAGCAGCCCGAGGTGTTACCCACGACACCCTCAAGGCTCCTTATGGCCCGTAGCAGGTGCTGTGTGAGTGTTCGCTATTACGTCAAGCCACAGAACATGTGTTTCTCTAGGTGGAGTGTGTGTGCCTGTTTGAGGAGAGTCACTAGATGATAAAATGAAGCATCATTATTGTCCACACGGAGTCTCTGAAGCTGACATTTGCCTCCCCTGGTCCAACATTTCCCCATGTGCCACTTCACCTACCATTGTGTTGAAATGGCGTGGGGGCCACACTTCACCTGCTCTGGCTCCCAAGGCTGACCTTCACAGGGTTCAGACATGCCCTCCGTCTGTTCTGACATCGGCCATTCCTCTCATGGCCCTCCATGTTCCTGCTGGGTTGGCCAGTTCACTGCAGTGGCCACACGGATGGTACTCACCATGATGGGGCTTATGAGGGACGTGAACAGGCTACAATTCAGGGGAGAAATGCTCACAAGAGAGTAGATCAGTCAGGACAGTGTCTTCTCTGCTGTTCCCATCGGCAGGCCTCTCTGGACCTCAGCCTCTCCACCTGGCTCCTGCCTGCTCAGGCATTTTACAAAGCTCTTTGAGGGCTGCCAATAAATGCCCAAAGGGCATGCTGCGCTGCAATCAGCTCAGCCTGGAGGCATCCAGCTCCAGCCCCCAGGGTCAGCAAACACAGCTCTCCCCGTTCGTGCCTGGAGGACCCCACTCCACAAGCCAACCTCCTGCCCCAAAGCACCTAGCTTCACTTGCTCTGTGGCCTGGAAGTTCACTGCTCGGCCTCGGACCTTTGCTGCTGGTTCTGCTGCAGCTGTTGCACCTCTGGTGTCACACCTGCCTCCTGGATCCAGGACATTCACTGCACCGGGACCTCGGGGTCCAAAGGACACCCCACGCTCCTCGGTCTTCCCTTTTGCCGGTAGTGAGATCCCTTCTCCTGCTGCTGTGGTGGCTCATTTTATACCAGCAGGTGGCGCTCTCAATCAACTCTGTTAACACTAGGCTAACTCATAGGCTCCAATCACTCTCTCCGCCAATCCTCTTGGCCAGACCTCTCAGGAAAACACGGGCTATTTGGTGGGAGTAGCAAAGGCCATGACCTCAGGAGCCACATTAAATAATTCGCTGCCTTGCAGCTCCTTGCCTTCGGGCAGAACCATCATCCTGCACCTGTTTCACCCAGTCATCCATCCCGGGTGGCCCTTTTCCGAAGAGCAGCACACCTTCCTCCAGGCTCATGGTCGAGGGCGTTGGGGTCTATTCACATCTTGTTTTGTAGTCGCCTTTACCAAGACGTTCTCTCCAAGTCAAGGCTGTGCAGCTCACAAACCCCTCTCTTCTTTGTCACCTCACTTGATTGTTTTTTCTCTTTCTCAATCTGGGAAGACCCGTATTTGCTCCGTTTTACAGATGAGGACTCTGAGACTGAGGGAGGAGCAGCCGCTAGCAGCTCTGTCCTAGGCTGTGAGCGGGCAGTGGGCACACACGTCCTCACTGCCATCTCTGTTTCTCCCCGTCCCACCCTGGAGCTGTGCTTCTCGATGCTCCCATACTCCCCCACCCTGCACACTGTGGCTCACGGGACAGTCCTTTCTGGGAGCCCAGGAGTGCCCGTTTATTCTTGGCACAGTTCTTAAAATACAGGAAACAGAAGTCTAGACAACTCCACGAGGGTGGGTCCAGTGATGCCCCTGCGCCCCAAGCTCTAAATCCTGCCCATCTGGGCTCACATGCAGTAGATGCCAGCACATGTTGGGTGGTTGGAAGGAAGGTTTTTCGGCTTACCTGGCAAAGGGATCAGCTGGGTGATTTTACAGGGCGATTTCTTCACTTAGTGGGGTGAAGTTGGACCCCGAGTCTTCCTCCCCTGTGTTTTTGAAACACAAGTTGTTTGTTCAAAGTTCTATATGCTTAACTTGTCTGGCTCGCTATTACGCAGGACGTCGGTCCCAGTCCTTCCCAGTCCAGTCATGGCCAGTGAAGTAACCGTGGGATGGGCCCACACTGGTAGACGTGGGTGAACTGGCGCGGTAGGCAGAATGGGAAGATTGTGGCTGCCACTCACTCTCGCCCTTGGGAAGCAAGGGCAGCTGGTGCTGCATGCTGTTGAAAGGCCCCGGCCCGCGTAGAGCCTTTACACAACAGAATGAAACACTGCGCGGCGGCACTGCGCCAGCCTCACAATTGTTCTTATGCCCGAGCCCATTGAATTTGGCCCGAACCTCTGGCAGCCCCTGTCAACGTACTGCGGCAACCGTTGTTGGATGATCTTGAGCAAAACGTTAGCCGGGTGTGATATCAGTGAGACTGTTCTGTAGGTTGAGCTTTCTGTTGGGTCACCTTTCTTTGGAATAGGCCCGGATCTGGATCGCTTCCAGGCAGTTGGCCAGGTAGCTGGCTTCCAAGTTTCCTGGCATAGACGAGGGAGGACTTCCCGTGCTGCTTCAGCTTGCTGGACCATTGCAATGGATACTCCTTCAATTCTGGGAGCCTCGTTTTTGGCTAAGGCTTTCATCACAGCTTGAACTTCTTTCTTCAGCGCCATTGGTTCTTGCTCATGGGCTCCCCGCTGAAACGATGGGCGGTCACCTGCCCTTTTTGGGACCGTGCCTCTGTGTATGCATTCCATCGCTTTATGCCTCTGCATCGTTCAATATTTTGCCCGTAGAATCTTTCAAGATCGCAATTCGAGGCATGGACCTTTTCTTTAGTGTGTTCAGTCTCAGGTATGCTGAACGTGCGCTTGCATGTTGGTTTTCCAATGTTCGCAGCCAAGTGTCTTCATCCGCAGAGCTGGTCAGAGCGGTGGTGCCCTGGTCTCAAAGATGACGGCTGACCACACTGCTTTGAATGTGTGTCCTGCTCCAGGGTCTTGACAATTGTCAGGCACCAGGCTCCTGCAAGAACTCACACCTCCCCTCCTGTGCCCAGGCTGCCCCCTGTCATTTTCTCCACCCTACTTGCCGCTCTGCTTCGCCCAAGTTGTAGAAATCCAGGGCTGCTCTGATTTGCCTTGACCACCGAACTGGCCTGCAGCTCTGTTCTCGGATCCTCTAAAACCCTCAGCTAGGCCTCGTTAGAGAAAAGCAGTGACATACCATGGTCATTACTGGTGTTATTGTGTTTCACATCAGTCGAAGGAAGGGAGAGTCATTTGGTGAAAGCTCAAACAGGAAGGCTTAACGTTAGTAGCAAATGAGCATAATTAATTATAAACACTGCTAATTAATGAGGACCTGGGATGGTGCTGGTCATGGTAGGGCCTCAGTAAGTATTTATTGAAATGGCTGGTGGATAGTCATAACAACTCTGACTGTTGCTTTAGGCTGTGCTCTGTACCACGTAGAGTGCAGGGGGCTTTCCCCATTAAATGATTCCATTTAATCCCGACAACAACCATCACAGGGAGACAGCAGTATCCCCAAGTTTACCGATGAAGCCCGAGAGGTGGCGTCTTCCAAGGTCACGCAGGGGTTGGGGCAGAGTTGAGAGGCCAGGCCGGGCCTTCTTCACCAGGTCCACCAGTGTGGGAGCATCCTGGCCTGGTGTGTGGCCAATGGGCCCCTGTGTGCCCGCCTCGGGGGCCAGCAGTCCTGACCGGCTGCTCTGCTCTTGTCCCGCCCTCACCCCTCCCTGCAGTCTGCGCTCCTCTGACCACCGGCAGGTGAACACCCTGATGCAGACGGAAGCGTGCCCGCCCATGCTGGAGGCCACGCAGCAGCAGCAGGTGCTGAGCGAGGGCAGGGCCTTTGACAACGAGCAAGACGGTGTGACCTACAGCTACTCCTTCTTCCACTTCTGCCTGGTCCTCGCCTCCCTGCACATCATGATGACGCTCACCAACTGGTACAGGTGTGTGCACCTGGCTGGGCATGGCGAGCCTCGGGGACTCGGTGGGCATGCCACACACCCCTCTCTTCTCCCTGGCCCTGAGTTTTCCTGTGATGCTGAGCCAGGGCTGTGGGTGAGGTGCCTCTCGGGGGCCCTCCACAAAGCCGCCCCCACTTCCATCCCCCACTTGCCCTCTGACATCTTCTCTGCTCAGCTCTTGGCCCTTCACTAGGTGAACGAAAGGTGGGCCACAGGCCGTGAGACTGGGCCTGTGCTGGGCACACGGGGTGTATGGGATCAGGAATGGTGGTTGGGGTCATGGGATCAAATGTGGGTCAGAAGAAGGTTGGAATTAGTGTGTGGCAGTCAGCTCAGTCACAGGACCCCAAATTGAAGCTATGAGGTACAGAATGGGGCTGAGATTAGGGCTGTATCAAGTCAGGAAGTTAGTTATTTGGCTAACATGGGGCTGAGGCAGCCAGAAAGCCTGGATTAAAATATAAAAATCAAGGGGTTAAGCTCAAGACAACCAGGCCAGACTGGGGTCACAGGGTCCAGGGTCAGAATTGAGATCGAGGGCATCAGAAAAGGGGTCATACGCTCAGGGGTCAGGCCTAGGGTCACATGACCAAGGATGAGCTCAAAGTGAGAGGCCATGACTAAGGTCTGGAGTTCCGGGGGCTGAGGTCACAGGACTGGAAGCACAAGGTCAGGAAGCAGGACTGAGGTCATGAAGCCTGCATTGGCCCAAATCTAGGACCAGGGTCACGGTTGGATTTGGGGTCAAGAGTCAGTTTTGTGATACAAGGGCACGGGCTATGCCCAGGCCTCAAGGTCAAGTGCTAAGACTGAGGGACAGAAATGCCAGAGAGGAGGCTAGGCCACAGGGCTGCTGCTGCGTGGTGACCGACTCCTGCAACCCCAGAGGACAGTCGCGCTGCCCTGGAAGGTCTCGGTCTCCTCGGCCGAGATCTCGATGGGAGCAGAGCACCAGGCCTCTTTTCTGAGGAGCTGCCACGTGGCTTCAAACCAGAAGCCTTTCCACTCGCAGCTGAGCACATCACCACCGCACAACCAGGGCTGCTGGGTAGGAGCCACCCTTGCAGTCGGGGGTCACCGCTGTGGTCATCAGGTCAAAGCCTGAGGGCCGGCTCGGGGGGCTGACGGTATGTTGCAGGCCCAGCGAGACCCAGAAAATGATCAGCACGTGGACGGCGGTGTGGGTGAAGATATGTGCCAGCTGGGCGGGGCTGCTGCTCTACCTGTGGACCCTGGTCGCCCCCCTGCTCCTGCCCAACCGAGACTTCAGCTGAGGCAGCCCCTAAAGCCCACTCCCTGGTGCCTGGGGGCTTGGTGACAGCCAGCCTTCTCTTCTTCCTCTGCCTCCACCTTTCAGGCTCGCCCCTGTGCTGGGCCCTCTCCCTTCTTAGTGCCTTTGCTGGGAGGAGGACCAGGCTCATGGCCTGAGCACCCTCTCCAGCTGCCCCCAGACCCATGGCACTGCCTCTCCCCCTTTCTCCCCACCACCTACACTCACCCTTTTGGGGAGAAAGTTCTCCTTGTTCTCAGGCTCCCCAGAGGAGGGGGCTGAAGGGGAGGGCTACTCAGAGTGTGGGAGCACTTATATGACTGGGTAGCCACCCTGAGACCCAGGAACCTGACCACACCCTGAGGGTCCCATCCCTACGGAACTCCGTGCCTTATCAAGTCTCTTAAGACTTTGCCCAGTATCAAGCCCATGTGTGTGCCTTCCCATGTATGTTCTCTGCACCCTCACCCTCTGTGTGGGGCCCTGGGCTGAGCCCTTTCCCACCTGGGGCCAGGCCAGGGTGGGGTCTGGTTATGGCATGTTAGGAGTGAGGGGGCAGAAGGCCTGCTTGGCATGAGGGATGTGGAGTCCGGGGCTGCTGTGGTCCTCAGGGCTCCCAGTGTGTGTGGTCCCCCAGGGAAAACCCTCACTGGACACCTTGTCCAGTGGAGAACACCCTCCACCCCCAGGAACCTGGCTCAGTTTTTGGCCCGAGCCACTGACTTGCAGTGGGACCTTGGGCAAAGGACATCCTTCCTCTGACCGTGCTTTGCCCAATAGTTGAATAAAGACCCTGCGTGTACAACAGTTAAGTCTGCTTCCCTGCTTTGTCTCGACAGTGCTCACGAGCTCTGGGCTGGTCCTTGTGGAAGAATGACCTGGGTTGGGCTTTTTGACCGTTCCCCGATGTGCGCAAGTGCACACCAGGCCCAGATCCACTCATGTGCACGCATGCACGCGTGCTGCACACACCCAGGTGGGCACGTACACACACATCGTGTGCACGCACCAGATACATAGATGCCCTTGTAGCCATGTGAATACCACACCGCAGATGTCTGTACACATCACACACGTGCGCACACAGCAGATGCACATGTGTGGAAACTCATGCACATGGACACCGCCCACCTGGACATGTGCACATACATGCAGTGTTGCCACGTCACTCAGCCTCCCTTCACACCCCCTTACCATGCTTTCCTGCACCGCCGAGGCTGGAAGGCAGAAGCATATCTCCCAGACTCCTTTTCTGGGAGAGCGTGGCTCTACCTTCATCGCAGCCCTCCGTGACCTCTGGAAGTGGGGTGAGGGAAGAAGCTGCCGACAAGCCTTGGTGGCGCAGCTCGGTCATGTCTGGGCACTGGCTTTGTGAGGTTTGGGGGGGCGGGAGAGGCAGGGTTGGGCAATGCCTGCAGCAGGTGCAGCTCTTGGTGGGCATGGCCAGCAGGGCTCTGCAGTGGCACCCCAACTGGTGGCTTCCGCAGGCCTGGGGGTGGGGGGTGTTCTCTTGAGGCAGGGGCAGCTCCCCCAGCAGCCCACCGGACTTGAGAGGCGTGACGGGACTTGAGAGCTCTGGTCTCCTGATTATCTTACCCCACTTTGCCATCAAGTCCCTTGCTGTTTGCACGGGAGGATAGAGTGCGCGCTGCCCCTGATCCGCCCGGCTGGGAGCCCTAGTTGCATGGTTCCCACTCTCTGAGAGGTAGCCAACCGCAGGCACTCTCTGCAGCATGCGCTGTGCAGACTTGGTGCTGGAGAGGCAGCAGCTTACAAGCAGCATGCAGGAGGGACGCGGACAGTCGCAGGGACACAGAGTGGGCCAGCAAATGAATGAATCGGATCATTTCAGGAAGTAAGAGCATGAGGGGAAATAAAACGGGCAGAGGGGTGAAGAGTGTTAGGCAGAGCTCTACAGGGGGCTGGGGGACAAGGGACAAGGTTAGAGGAAGCCTCTTGGAGGGGTGACATTTGGGCTGAGACCTGAGGAAGGCGCCACAGATGAGAAAGTCTGGGAGAGAGAATGCCAGGCAAGTGCAGAGGTCCCCAGGAGCCCCCGAGCGGCAAAAGCAATAAAGCACCTGGCAGTGTACTAATGGAAAGGCTGGCGGTTCCAGTTCACCCAGAAGTGCCTTGGAAGAAAGTCCTGGTGACCCTCTTCCAAAAAGATCAGAGCCATTGGGAATTTTAGGGAGCACAGTTCTACTCGGAAGCACACAGGGGATTGACTTGGTGGACTGGCTTTCCTGGGTAGGAATCCTTCAGCTGCAGGAGCTTGGGGTGATTCAGGAACAGCGGAAGGGACAGTGCGGCTGGAGTCAAGTGACCAAGGAAGGGGAGCCAGGTGGAGACGAGGGAAGACGTAGACTGGGTCAGGTCACATGTTGCTTTTGTTGGGGGCCATTGGGCCTGCTCCAATGCATGGTGACCGCATGGACAGCAGAGTGAAGCACTGCCCAGGCCTGTGTAGGCTCGCCACTGTTCTCATGCCTGCGGCCAGTGTTGCAGCCATGTCAGTCCATCTCGTCGAGGCCCTGGCTTGGTTGAGGGCCCTCTACCAAGTGGGACACCCTTTTCCAGGGACTGCTCTGGCCTGACACCACGTCCAAAGTCCGGGAGACTTCGTCTCGCCATCCTTGCTGCTAAGGAGCGCTCTGGCTGTACTTGTTGCAAGGCTCAGATCACAGGACCGTGGAAGCCTTCGTGAGGAGTTGGATCCCTCTTCAGATAAGATGGAGGAACACCAGCGGCCTTTAAGCAGGGACATGGTGTGATCCAGTCTGTGTTCTAAGAGCACCGTGGGTGGAGAATGGATTTTAGTCGTGTTGTTGTTGGTGGTGGGGTGTGTGTGTGTGTGTGAGGCCAGAGCAAGAGCAGAATGACCATTGAACAGGACAATGAGTCCAAGAAGGAAGTGATCGATTGGCTTACCAGCAGCGTGATCAGACTGGAAAGTAAAGCCAACAGGACTTGCTGACGGTTTACATGTGGGGGTGCGAATGAAGGAGAGGAATCCTCTTGTTTGGCCCCAGAAGCTGGGTGAATGGTGTCGTTCATCACAATGGAGACCAGGGAAAAGATTTCAGAGAAGGGGCGATCCATCTACCATCTATAAAATGAGATGAATGGCACCTAATCCAGAGGGTTAATGAGGATAAATGAGCTAATCTGTGTATGGTGCTTAGAACAGTCTCTGGTACTGTGTTAGACAGGGTTCTCTAGAGAGATAAAACCAAATTGCTGATAATTTAATATATTTATTTATAAAGATAATTAGATATATAACAAGAAATGAACTGTTAAATCATATATAGATACATATATAATACAAGAAATAAACAGTTAAATTATAAAGCACTACAAATGGCTCAGT